GTACACAAACATGATACTGTATGGAAGGCACTTGGCAAACCTTAAAGGCTGGTGCACACATTCTCATCATCCCCAGGGCCCAAGAAAGCTCCATTCATATGGAGCAGGCTTGGCTTATTTTTTTTACTAAATGGATGGATGGATAGATGGATGAATGATCTACAATGATGTCCAATAAGGAGTATGTGAGCCATGCTCCAATTCAGCTCTCCCAAATCTAGCACTTGTCTAGAGTGCTTGCTTGTCTTCCGAGATGCCTCTCCTAGAAGCTGTGGCCATTTTGTGGTGGTGAGCCAGTGAGTACCACTCCATCCCACTAGCACTAAAGGTAACTGTTGGTCACAAGCAGCATAAGGTCGAGAGGCTGAGAAGGGTGAGAAGATGTAGCTTCATCATCATCCCTTATGACCACAGGCCAAGAGGACTTGCTTGGAATAAGGGAGCTGCCTATGTCCCTGTGAGCTGAGGGCATCTGGCTGATCAGATGTTCACTCCTTCCACCTACTTCTTCAGAAGGTGATAGATCTCTGGAAGCTACCCTTCCCAGCCATACTCTATTCTGCCAACCCTTGTCCAAGATAGTATCCTTAGCACACCAGAGGCCTTGGAAAGAGATTTTGAGAAGTCAGTTTTAGCTCTAAAAATTTACTGCTCAGATGATCTCAGTGTTCTAGATGGGCTCTTAGAAATTTTCTCAGCCCTAATTCCCGTAACTGTATGATCCGGTTCAGCAATTCTTAACCTAAGCAACCGGGGGTCCTTTGATAAGTTTCAGGAGGTTCATGAAATTAAATGGGGCAGCAGGAGGGAAGTGCATCTTAATTTCAATATAACTGATTCATTTGTGATGCTGTGTATTCTATTTTAAGCATTTAAAAACATGTTTCCAAGAAGGGATCCACAGGCTTCACCCTGACTCCAAAAGGAGTCCAGGACAAAAAGGGCTAACTCTGATCTGATCCATCCTCCCCAACAGCAACTGCCTCCTCCCCACACCAGGTAGGAAGATGCCTCGTCATCCTATCCCAGACAGCAGGTCAATGACATCAGATACCGACCAACCAAGCTGTAGTCACGTCTTAGCAGAACTGAAACTATATCATAGAAAGAGGGCACCCTGCCAAGTTTATATAAAGCCAACATTCAGCACATGCTTAACAAATGAGCAGCATATTCTTCATGCCTGTTCGCTAAGAGAAGTGTTTACATGTTTGCTTTCATTCTGACTATATCTGAGCATAATCGTTAAACTCTTATAAGAGTTGACTCTGTCATGTTGGTTGATGGGCAGACAGGTGGTGCATGTCCAAAAAAATATGCTCATCAGAAGTACTTATGATGGAAAGATGTGGGCAGGTTTCATAGCAAGAAGAAGAAATAGCAGAGGAAATCACCCTGGTACCACAGACCTGAAGAATAAAAAGCACAGCAAGGTGATCAGCACCTTGGGCAGCTCCCCTTGGGGGATTTTTCGGGAAGGTAGCAAAAACCCTCCACCAACAGCCAAGGCGAGATCTTGGCTCTGGTGAATGCAGGATCAAAGTGAATCATGCTGGTGCTGATGGACTTGGGTGAGGGGAAGGAGAGGAGGAAGAAAGGCCAGGTTCAAGACTCCATCCTGGTTTTTTAAATGTCTATTCTAGTCATTGAAAGAGACAATTTCTGGGTAATATGGTAACCACTATGGAATACTGGGTCTCTCTCCCATGTCTATATCATTTCTCAGTCCTTTCACTCTTACAAGCTAGAGTTGTTTCAAAAGGTTATATTTTTAAAATGTTATTGAGACTTTTAATAGGGAAAAATCCTAAACAGATGATTAAAGAGATGGTTGATGAATGTAAAGAGATCGCCCAGTTTTCTCAAGCCTGGTCATGGCAGACCAACCTTATTTTCTTTGTTAGTAGGACTACTATGCTGGTTGGTGAGGGGCTTTCTATAATTATAGTACGCCTCCATTTTAGCGTAACATTTGACAAAGGATTCCGTTTCTTGTGGAGAAGAAAGGAGAGAGGTGGTCCAGAAATCTTGGATGCAGTCCCTGACAGGGCAAGAGAGCCTTTATGGCCCAAAGTTAAATGGGCAGCCAAACCACACGGCTCCTTGGGATAATAGAAGCGGGCAGTCAGGTGGTGAATAAGATTCAAGAGGAAACTTGAATAGATGGTCTAATACTTCCCAGAGCATGACCCTGGGGCTGCCCATCCTACCACCCACCTAATCAAGCCTGAGAGAAGACAGTGAGAGGAGCTAACTGACCTCTCGTGGTGGGGGGAGGGTCAGAAACAGCAAAAATGTCTCTTTTGCAAAGTCTCAGGAGCTTGAGGCCCTGGAATCCCATCATCCCAAGCTGCCAAGGGCTTAGACACTGATCCTGATGTCCTCTTACTCTCCCTGCTTCCCTTCAGGGACAGAGGGTACCAGTAAGGGGCAGGGAACGGGAGGGAGCCAGTAGGGAGGGTCACTTCTCTTTTCAGGGCTTAAGCTTCCTCCTCTATAAAAAGAAGGGGTCAGGCTTGGCCTCTGAGGCCCCTTCCAGATCTAGAGAGAATCCATCCTAGGACATCTAGGTGATGCAGTGCACAGAGCATGGGGCCTGAAGGCAGGAAGATTCATCTTCCCGAGTTCAAATCTGGCCTCAAACACTTATGAGCTGTGTGACCCTGGGCAGGTCACTTCACCCTGTTTGCCTCATCTGTAAAATGAGCTAGAGAAGGAAATGGCAAACCACTCCAGTATCTCTGCAAGAAAACCCCAAATGGGGTCAGGAAGAGTTGGACACACCTGAACAACAAAACCACCCGAGAATCTCTGGGGCCTGTTTCTTTCCCTATAAAAAGTGGAGGTCAGACCAGATGGGCCCTGAGGTCCCTTCCAGCTAGCTACAGATCCAGGATCCTATAAATAATAATGTTCCCATCAATAGCTCTGGGGGCAAGAGCCCCCACCAGTGGAACTCTATGGAACTGCTGGTCCAAACTCAAAATAGAAATAAGGGTCATTAAATCATAATAAGGTATTTTTTATTAATTTTTTTTCTTATTTCCCAAGAAACATTTTAATCTGGTCTAGGCCATACTTGAGAGTTTTGTAGGCCAAGGGGCCTACTGATGAGATTGACAACTGCTCTAAAACCATCAATGAACCACACGGGACTTTGAGCAGCTGTCTCCAGATCAAGCTCCAAAGAATACCCCACTGCCAGCAGCAGACACAGTTTGCGTTCCTCCCTCCCTCCGTCTCTCTCCCTCTGTCCTTCTCTTCCTCCCTCTGTCCCTCTCTCTTTCTCTCCCTCTGCCTCTCTCCCTCCCTCTCCGTCACGGGCTCTATAATAGCCTCACCAGCAGGAGACAATGGAGATTGCTGGGGGCTGGTCAATCACAAGAACTCGGAAAAAAGGAACAATGCACCCCAGTCGGACCCAAGCATTTGAACAACAGCCAAAAAACTCAAAGAATGGCACTGTCTTCTCCATCCCTTGCTAGAATAACCTGGTGAAGTGGGCAGTGCTGCTGTTTCTCACAGGAGTGAAAAAGGCAACGCTTCTCATTGCTTTTTGGTAGCCAGCAGACAAGCTTCATGGTGTATGTAGTAGGAGGGAGCCAGAAGCAAGGAGTCAAGAGACTCCCCGGGTTCTGTCACTCCCCGTGTGACTATCTGTACAACAAAGGAGTTAATCCTGATCATTTAGAGACCTCGGGTCCCTCCTAGCTCTGAGGGTCTGCCATGTTTGGTACTCTCATGTTCACATCCTATCTACAATGCATTGTTCCAAGGCCCCTTCCAGCCCTGACCTCCTCTGTTCTTAGGTCCTTCCCACCTCCCACATTTCCTGTTCTAGGCCCACTCACGGCTCTGATAAGCTCTGTTCTAAGCTTCTTTCCACCTCTGACATTCCCTGTTCCAAGCCAACACGCTGCCCCCTTCCCATCACCTGTGATTCGGTCAAGGCTGTGTGACTTTCTTTCGCTACTGCTGGCAAATCGGGGAATCTAAGGGAGAGTCAGGGCTACAGCAGGGGAAACAACCTCCGAAGGATGCTAGTTCAACCACAGGTCACTGGCCTTTGTCAACAGCTGATGAAGCAAATGGCCCGGAAGCATGTGCGGTAACAAGAGCCCCTATGGTTCACGGGCCACTTGGCTGGGCTGGGAGACTAGGAACAGCTCACTCCGTGAGGCTGGGCTCTGTCTGCCAGGGGAAACCCTGGGAGGTGCCAGGCTTCTGGATTCTGGGATATAAGGAAGCTGGTGGGTTTCAGGAGGGGATAATGGCCTGGGTTAGAAAGGGCAGGCGCCTAGAACACATCCCCTCACCTGGCACTCAGAGATATGGCATGAGAGCCAAGGGTTTCCTGGAAAGAGGGGAAAGCGGCACAGGGGGCTTCACAGAACTGAAAGGGTCCTTGGGAAACCATCCAGTCCTGACCCTCATTTTACAGATGGAGAAACCGAGGCCCGTGAAGGGACTTGTCCATGGTTTCAGAGGTACTGAGTGTCCGAGGCAGAATGTGAACAAGTTCTGCCTCTAAACCTGAGGAGCTTTTCCACACCCCACCACCACGCCTGTAAGAGCTGGGCTTTGAACCCAGGTTCCGGCACTCCGCACTGCGTCTGGCTGCACCCACACTTGCGGGTCAGAGGCCTGAGAGCTGAAAGGAACCTCGGGGGTCACTTGGCCTCTCGTGCCGTCCCGCTGGGCCTTAAACAAAGGGGTCCCCGGGGCGGCACCAGGTGGCGGCCACCTGAGCCCAGGCGGGAGACCTAGAGGGGGCCCGACCTCGTTCGCTGTGTCCAGCTCCCGCCCCTCCCTGCCCCCCCAACGAGGGTCCGAGGGAGCCGGACCTGCCCCCTCCCCCCGCGGGCTCCCACCCGCACCGAGCCCACGTCCACATCCTTGGGCAGGGGGTGGTGACGGGACCCCCGCCCCAGAGCGCCCCCGACGAGGGTCCGAGGGAGCTGGACCTGCCCCCCCCCCCCTCCCGCCCAGCCGGCGCTCACCTCGGAGCAGGTAGAGGGGCGCGGGCGCGCGCGGCACGGCCCCGCGCAGCGCGCGCACCACCCAGGCCAGGGCGCCGTCGGGGGCGCGCAGGGCCTCGGCGGCGCGCCGGCTGCGCTGGTCGTACAGCACCACGGCTCCGTAGAGGCCGGCGCGCAGGCGGCGGCCCCGGGCCTCGGCGTCGGGCCCGTCGGCGGCCGGCAGCAGCTGCTCCAGGCGGCCCGGGCCGTCGGGGGCGCGCCTGCGCGCGATGGTGTGGCAGCGCACGGGGAGCGCGCCGCGGATGCAGCCCGCGCTGTGGGCCAGGAAGGGCCGGCAGTCCAGCAGCAGGCACGTGCCCCCGCCGGGCCCGACGCCCGGCCCGCCGGCGCGCTCGCGCTCGTCCCGGCTCAGGAGCCGCCGCAGCGCGCTGCCCTCCAGCTCCCGGAGCTCTCCGGCCGTCACCATGGCCCCCGCTGGCCGGCCGCCCGGCGGGGCTGCACGCCGTCCCCCGTCGTCGGCGGCGGGTCCCCCGGGAGCGTGTGGCCGCCGCTGCCGTGTCCGCGCCCCGCGCCCGTCGCCCCCGCGGCTCCGGGATTTATCCTCTGGCTCCCGGGTGGGGGGGCGGGGGGGCTGCCCCGCCCCCTCCAGGCCCCGCCCCTCCCCCTCCGTGAATGGAGAGGCGCCCGGGTGGGGGCGGGGTCTGGGGCTGACGTCACAATGGGCCGGAGGATCCCCGGCTCGCGGCCATTCATAAATCGGGGCTGGCGGCGGGGCCGCGCGGGCGCTGGGCTGGGGGCCGGGGCGACCCTGGGCGGCCCGAGGCTTTGTGTGACCAGAGCTGGGGGCTCAGGGTGGGCGTGGGCTGGAGGGTGGGCCCGGGCGGGTTCTCGGGCTTCGCCGTGGACGTTTCAGCCACCTCTCCTCTCTCCCCCAACTCATCTTCGACGAGGTTATCGATGCCTTGGCAAGGGTCCGGGGTGGAGACTCGGAGGGCACTGCGTCCGTCCCAGGGACCTGGGTCTGTGGCGTCCCCCTTTCTGGGCCTCAGTTGGTGTTCTCTAAGGGCCCTCCCGGCGCTGAGCTCCGGGATCCGATGGCCCACGGACGGCGCGCCCAACGTTCAGCCAACACTAGGAAGGGCCAGCCGGGCACAGGGCCCGCCCGCCCTCCCCGTCTATCGACCACAAGAGACTTGGGCCACAGCCAGGGGTCCGGGAGGGAAGGAAACCCGCTGGCCGACTTCAGAAGCGCTGGAGTCTCTCCTTTGCCCCTACTGGTCTGGGCACGGTTTGGGTTGGTCTGGCTCAACCGAGCAGGTGCCAGAAACCTTCGCCAAACCCGGGAGCAAAGGGGGCAGCCCTGGCTTCCTCGGCTCGGGATTCGTTGGGTCCCGTGGGGGTGGGAGAGCCAGGGTGCCAGCCCAGGCCCCGGTGCCCTCTTCCCTTCTTCCCCTGCCCGTCCCAGCCAGATCCGTCCCCTCCTCGCTCGGATCTGACTCCGAAGCTTTCTCCTGCGCTGGCCGCCCCTAGCTCCCCACTGCTGTGGTTTCTAGCTCCCAGCCCCCCTTTCTTCCCTCCCCTCCCCTCCCCTCTCCCATTCTTTCCTTTGGCCTCTCCCCTTCTTTCTTCTCTTCCCTTCCCCCTCCGTAGCGCCACCCATAGCTGCTGCTATCCTCTCTCAGTCCCTGACAAATAGGGTGGAGAACGGTGTAACTGAACCCAAGGCACCTAGAAAGTCTGTGTTGAAGAAACCTGAGCCTTCCAGCCATTTTCCCACTCCCTTAATGGAGACGGGGCAGAAGGGGAGGCATGAGCGTCCTACCAGATTATGACCAGAATTGGCCTTGGAAGGGACCTCCAAGGCCACCAGTCCAAGACCAAGAACCCCAACATCTCCGACAAATGGTCTGCCAGCCAGAGCTGGAAGATCTGCTTGGTGGGTGCATGGCCCCAGCCCCCACCCCTACCAGACCTTTCTACACTTGAACAGCCCTGGTTGTTAGGAAGTGTGACAGCCAGGCCCAGAGCCCGTCAATCGATCTATAATCAATCAACCAATCAGTCGGCATTTATCAAGTGGCCAACATGTGAATGGGACTGTGTTAGGCACCTCTCCCCAGCTTCTCCACTTAGCTCCTGGTTCTGCCCTCCCAGGCCCAGAGCAGACAGAGGGGGCAGCCCTTCAAACACCATAAAATGGGCTTGTGTCCCCGGTCCCCAGGCTTCTCTGGGCCCAGCGCTCCCAGGTCCTTTGACCCATCTTTGTGTGCTCATCCATCTCTAATCCTCTAATCCAGGGTTTCTTAACCTTTTAGGGGCATCCTGGACCCCCTAGCAATCGGTCTGGTGAAGCCTTGGACCCTTCCCCTGGATAGGTACAGAAGGCATGGCATTACAGTGGGAGCCCAAGGTGAATGTTCTCCCATCCACATTCACCGATGCCCTGAAACCCATCCAGGGACCCAGGGGGTTAAGAGCCCATGGTCAGTCCAGTGTGGCCATCTCATTTTACAGAAGCCTGGCTCCCACCCTAATGGAGAGAGAGTGAAATGACAGCAGCAGGGTCCAAGAGGAAGTGATTCTTGGCTCCTCCGCCTGGATGGCAGCAGTGACAGCGTTGCCTGTGGCTGACTGGCCGGGGGCCTCACAACGCCCAAGGATCTGAACAACCAACTCAACTTCTCCTCCTGGCTTCCTGGAAGGGCACTGGCCAGCCACCTGGTACCCCCATATCTACTTTCCTTGAGCAATCCCAACCCTTTCCAACCAAATTCTTCTGGAAAGGAAAGGGCCAACCTAGGAAATCAGCAGCTGCCTTGAAAGTGGGTGATCAGGGAGGTAGGTACATTCCTTCCTCTAGCCTGCCTGCTCTCTGAGCTGGCATCCTTGCTTCTGCCTGGGTGTAGCAAGCCGTAGGTGGCCAACCTGGGAGAGAGGCAGATGTGTGTCAAATGTCCTTGGAGTCTCCATGTGGGCACTGGATCCTAGCCTTGAGGGCTGGGAGTAAAGGGCTGGCACTGGGCACCTGGCATCAGGCAGAGAGTAGGGAGGGTGTCTGCCCTGCTGGAGGGGGATCATTCTGAGGCAGTCAGTCATCTGAGCCCGGTGGTTTTGTTTTTACAGCCACTGCGAGAGAATTTTCACACCTAGATGAGAGCCCTGGGGACCATAGAGAAGGTTTCACTAAGTACTCAGAAGGCACTGAGCACAGAGCCTGGAACAGAGTAGGTGCTTAATAAATATCTGTTGACTGACCGTCTAACTGAAAGATGGTGAGGGGCTTGTCCTCAGGCTGGGAAGACTGGACCTGCCCCAGGGATGCTGCCTCACCTTGGGGGCTCAGAGCACTCTGGGAGCTTTCGGGTGCTTGGGAATGGCCCTGAACCAGTCACAGAAGCTAGTCACCCTCCCGAGTCACATCCCATCAAGTGGGGTCAAGGCGCCGCACATTTGTCTTTGACTAAAGCCTGCCAGACAGTACTAAAGAGTCACCTCTGTAATGCATGCCTCCCAGGGTGATTATGGATCTCTTTGTCTGAACAACCCCAATAGGTCCCTCATGCCCAGTCTACCGGCCTCATTGGACAAAGAGGGAAACTGAGGCTCAGGAATGTTAATGGCATAGAGAGTAGAAAGACTCCTGGATTCACACCAGAAGACAGACCTCGGGTGTATGATCTGTGTGACCAGGGACAAGGCATGGGAGTAAAGGCTGGCACTGGGCACCTGGCATCGGGCAAAGAGTAGGGAGGGTGTCTCTACATAAATGGGATTGGACGGGATGATCTCCAAGGGACTGTCCAGCACTAGAGCCCAAGCCTGGATACCTGTCTGCCCACTGCAGCCAGCCACCTGGCCCCCAGACCCACGAAGCTCCAGGGAGAAGCTTCCCTCCTGGAGTCATCTGGAAAAGCAGACCGTTAAAAAGTAGAGATGTTCTCAGTCAATCGGGCAGTTGATGAAGACTTAAGTGCCCCACGGGGGCCTGGCACTGTGCTAAGTGGGAGAGGCAGCCCTGGCTAAGAAGCCGGCCAGTTTTGCTGTTTCCCAGTCTCCCCTGGTTCTGTCCCTCCCTGGTCAGGTCTGTGGGGCCCGAGAGGCCGGGTGTATAGCGCTGGCAGGTTGTCACTCGTGGGCCCCATAGCCGGCTCCAAGACATTGAAGGGCCAACTGATGGGCTGGTTTCCAGGTGTCCCGGAAGAGGGGGCAGCACGGGGCCTTGGTGCCAGAGTTACCCAGTGATTTCCTCACAGCCCAGGGCTGTCCCCATTATTATTCCCGTTCACCATATGAGCCTGAGGGTCCAGGGAAATTCTGGAACAAGGGCTCAAGGTCTAGTTCCTCTTGAGGCAGCTTGGCATAGTCAACAGAGAGCCGGCTGTCCTTGGGGTCTGGGAGGCCTGGGTTCGAGGCCTTCCTCTGACTTGAATCCCCCAGAGACCCTGCAGGTGCCACACCTGATCTGCTGCAGAGCGGAGGCAGCTGATCCAGCCTCAGACAATGACCAGCTGTGTGACCCTGGAGAAGTCACTTCACCTCTGCCTCAGTTTCCTTGCCTGTAAAATGGGGATAATAACAGCACCTTCCCCAGGGTGGTTGTGAGGATCAAACGATAATAACCTCTGTCCAGTGCTTGGCAAACTTTCACACTCTACATAAATGCTTGTGATTATTATTATTGTTGTTGTTATCATCATCATCATCATCATCGTCACTACCCTGGGCTCCTCACCAAGCTTCTGAGTGCCCCAGATGTCAGTGGCAGATGAGGCTCTGATCTGCCCTGGTGGAGGGGTTTCCTCCCTGGGAGGTCCCCTGAACAGGTGAAGTGACCGTAGCAGGCCAGTCTGGTCTTGTGCCTGACCCAGAGCAGGCAGTGCCTAGACCGAGCTGCTCTAGGGAAAACTTCTACCTGCTCGGGCTGATCAGGAGGGACCAGGCTTGCCTCTGGGGCCCTTCCCAGACCCTGGAGTGGGCTGGACATCCACTTGTGGGGGATGCTGCAGCAGGAGTTTCTGTGGGCCTGGCTGGCCTCTGAGGGCCGCCCAGCTTGGAGGTCCTGGAGAACCCTGTCCTGTCCCGGGTCTCCTGGGTCAGGGCAGTGACCCAGGGCAATGAGGCAATTACAGAGCCTCAGGGAGCATCGATAAGGGAAGGGAGTCTCCTCGGGATTCCTAGTTTGGGGGAGGCCCAGAAAGGAGCCAGGAGCTGTAGCAGGGTCCAGGTGGGGGCAGAAGCAGAAGGCCTGACTTCATGTCCGAGCTAAGTGGCCTTGGGAGGGTCCCTCGCTCTAGGCCTCAATTTTCTCCTCTTCAGAATGAGCAGATCATTGAGTAGACTCAGGATGGCCCTGAAGGTTCCTTGGAGTCCATTCTGTGCCTGGTGTGGGGCTCCCCCTTGCACAAAGACCCAGGCACAGTGTGGGAGGCCTCTGCTTCCCCCTGGGCTCTCTGCCCCTCCGGCCCC